GAGAGGACAGAAAACCCCGTGCCCTCCCTCGCTGGATAAATCACTGCACCCACACCCGCACCCTAAGGATATGATGAGTGCAAAGTAGGATAGAGAAATTTGTAGTGGAGTTTCAAAGTGAGCCATAATCTACCTTGCCCTGCAGTATAGGGTGACGTTTAACCGAGCAAAATACACAGTAGAGAATGTCTAGTTAAGATATTACATAAATAAATGACTTCCGAGCTTATGAATTTTATTGATTTTCGAATCATTTTTTTTTCTTTATTTTAGGCATGACAAAAGTAGCAGTAACTCCCACAAATAATCAACAATTTCCCTATTGTTCAGTAAATCATTTTCTTTATTCATTAATTCGTTCATCTCGTGTTTATCGTCGTGGTTTAATATCACAATTATTAAAAATGTTTGATAATGATGCAACAACAACAACATCAACAACACTTGAAGAACAATTATTTGTTGCTGATAATTTAGCATATTTTCCCTATCAAGTACAAGATGAACCATTATATTTAATTGAACAAATTGATTTAACAATAAGTGTTAGTGGTTCAACACAATTACAACAATTTCGTGATTTATTAAAACAATATTTAGATTATATTGATGATGATGAAGGTATTGATATAAATAAATTTGAAGAAAAATTTCTTACATTATCTGATACAATTATTGATGAATTAAATCAATGTTTACGTACATCAAAATCTACAATGTTATTATTAATATTAAAATCTTATCTTAAAGATATTTATAGTTTAAATGATGCAAAAATAACTGAATATGATCATACAGAAAGTAGTAAAGTAACAGATCGACCAATAATATCTCGAAAAATGCATATTAAATTTGAACCTAAAATAATTCTTGATGCAATTACACCATCAAATCATATGGATAGTATACAACGACGTAAACAAATATTAAAAGATTTTCAAGATTTTAAACGTTATTTATTGGCATTCGATACAGATGCAGATGATACAGTACAATCAATATCAGATTTATTACCTTCAACAACAACGACTACATCATCATCATCTACAACAACACCATTACCATCAAAAAGTAAGAAAAAATCTGGTGGAACAAATAAACGACGAAAAGTTATGATCGATTCAGAAGATGACAGTGCCGATGGCAATTTTCAGCCATAATCTCTCTTTTCTCTTTTGTTTTATATAATATATATTATGTATGTTTTTTTTTATATGATGATCTTTCTTTCTTTCTTTATGTCCACTATAATGTAAAAAATATCTGTGTGTGTAAGTCTTGTTGAAAAATTTTTTTTTTCTTTTCATATATAACTAATTCTGTACAGCGAAGCAGAACAACAAAACGACATTAGATTTTTGTTCTAAGAACAATAATGAAAAAGTGTGCATTTTTTTTTATTAGGACTACCTCAGTGTTTTTGGTTGTTTTGCTGAAAAAAAACGAAAATTAAAATAAAAGTCAAATGTTGTCTTAGGCAAAAATATCAAAGATTTGATAAATTATAATAGAATTTGTTTAATGTAAACACGTAGTTGTTACAATTACAGTTCATATTCTTCGATAGGCAACGTTTGCATAAGATGAAGTCTATGTTTACGATAGACGGACGATTCTTCTATGGATGACTATACATGCTAACGCATCTGTAAAGCATTATAAATGCGACATAACGAACGCCTATATAGACTATAGGCATCGACTAAGATCTCCATTCATTCATAAGCTAGTCCATTCTTCTATCGACAATGTATCATTTCTTTATCGTAACAGATATATACATATATAATACGAGGGAATAGATGAACAACAATCAGTTCAGAGATAGCACAACATTTCTTATTACAATATTCTCCTTAATAAAACATAAACAAAAAGCAAACAGTAAGTTTCAAATTATTGATTTAATTTATTCGAATATTTTTTTTGGTTAGAAAATGTATAAACAACTAGCATTTTTTCGTAAACATGAAATGAA